CTTTTATGCATAATTACTAGAAAACACAAATCTGTTATTCTGTAAGTCTGTCATCAGAAAGGAAAAGCTATCTAGTGAACACTTTGAAAAAAATAATTGCAAGTATTAAATTATTAACTGCAACACGAATACACTGTCTAAACTACCATTTTAATTTTCTTAATAATTCCCCTTTTTCTATTTAGGCTAACGCAGGGAATGCAAGGCCAAACTTGAAGCTCTGCCTACGCGACAGATGACTTCTGGCATGGCAAGGTTTCCCAAGGAGGGGATGACGCATGAATTGTAACACCGTTGAAAAAGCAAAAGCCCTTTTTAAGGACATACTTTTACTGCAAAGCTGTATGCCTGCTTCTGAAAGCTTGGTGGTCTTTTTTTTTCAAGATGAGGGAGGAGTACTGTTATGTTTATTGCATTGGCACAAAGCACCACTTTTCGGCTGCTGCTGTATTGACTCAGGACACTTGCAGAGAACACTTACTCCTGCAGCAGCAGATGAACCTCCAAACCCACATGTTTTTGTATCCCTTTTCTATGCATGTGTGAAAAATCTAATAAATGTTGCCCAAACGGACTGGTTTCTCTCTTTCTTAGTGGGCTTCCACTGAATCCAAGCTGAGGTCTTGCAACTAGCAAAAGCAGCACATTTACAAAAATGGACCATTAGGTTATGGGCCTGATCTACTCAGTATTAAATCAGCAGGCACTGAATTAAACTCAGTCTTCTATTATATCCCACAAAAATCTCACACTGGAAACACCTGCATTACAAGTATTATAGAACATGACTCCACTTGTTAGCAAAGTGTTTCTATTTATAGCATCAGGGAGAAATTAGAGCCGTATCCACAGAACACAACCAGAACTCCACAGACAGAATCAATCAGCAATTGTTCCATCGCTCACCCGTTTCAAAGGGTTAGCTCAGTTTCCTTTATAAACTTCACCCTTCTCTCATAAATATAATTCGGAAGCTTGAAACCAAAATATTTTTCTTACCAAACGCTATTTTCCTTCATCATATGCTGAGAATGAATGGTTCTTCTTGAACATTCAGCTGCTGAAGAGAAAGAAAAAGCGTGTATCAAATTTTCATTCTGTCCACTTTGACAAAAGCTCTTTTTCACATTCAGGCTTAAAGGGAAATGAAAATGCTACACCTCAAAATATAGGTGCAGTCAGACTTGATCTCTCTACCTATGCAGATTCATACTTCTTTTAATGGATTTCTTGAGAAAATGAGGCGAAGAAGAAATTATGCAGATGCATAAAGAGCAGAGTATAGCACAGGGAAAATGCTGGTAGAATAATGAGAGTTGGGATCCTAGTGCAGCCATATTTTGAATATTTTGCCCTGCTTGTCTTCAGTGACATCTCGATAAACAACTGAACAGGGGCCTGAACAGACTGCCTCGCTAGTTGGCAAGTCACTGGGGATTGTCACCAGTGCTTAAAAGGTAAATTATCCTGAATGAAAGGACTTGAAGCAGTCGTGCAAAACTTCCAAACACTTTCTGGATGTCAAAATTACCAGTAATATTATGGCTTGTCGAAATTAAAAAAAAAAAAAAAATGCTGGATGACCTAATATAAAAGCTACCTTGGACAGAGAAAGATTTGGGGAATTTTTTGTTTCCTACCTGGCAGCAGCACTTATCCAAAGTACTTTAGGAAAACATACTAAAACGATGTCAATTCCTTGTGCTGTTCTTCTAGGAAAATGATAAGCTTATTATAAATAAAACCAGCCTTAAGAAAGCAGTTGAACCTTGGACAACAAACCATCCTTTCTGCCTAGTAGCTGCGCAGCCTTCCCTGAAGATTTCGCTACTACTTCAGATGTTTTCTGAAACATCAGTAATGACTGTGTCATGCTGAACTTCGGGGGTTTATGTATACAAAATACATTTTAGAGGCATTTAGTACTGCACGTGTTTTATTGAAGAATGAATGAATAAAACAGCCTTGCTAATTAAGCTGCTCTGAAAATAGTAATCAACTGGAATTTCAGGTGTCAAATCAGAGTAAGATTATAAAACATGCTTCAGAAGAACCCTTAAACTAATGCTATTTTAGATGTGTGGTTTTTAAACAAGTTCTGAAGCACTTTGGGAGCTACTTTTTAACTGTATTCTGAGTACCACTGTTAACTATTTTGTAAAAGGAAAGGAAAACAAATTTCAAGCACTGTTTACGGAAGGGGATTCAAGATAAATAATGCATTGTACAAAACACCAAAGCATTCACTGTTGGTCAAACACTGTAGGAGATCGTTACCCAACACGACACTGACACATGCTGCCTGTTACATCCTAATAAATACACATGTAAGCAAGTGGCAAAAATTATTTTAAAGTAGCAGTCACCAGGTCTCTAATAAAATGCTATTACATTGACTTTCTATGATACAAAAATAATAATCATAATCTTTAGAATAATAAGTGTAGTACAACAGCTAACATTTGCTCACTACAGAAATACTCAGTCCATTGGTGAGAGACTGTGAAGAAAGTCGTTGCCTACCTTTACACAGCAGCTCTATAAATGCATGGCTGTTACAGTAACACATCACAGATAATTGCCTTTGACTGTAGTTACTTTAAAGCATTTGTTAAAAAAAACCAAGAAATTGCCCAAGAAATGGCTTGGTTTGTACATAATTTATCTATTATATTACAGGAGCATCTTAAAGCAAGGATGATGCTCTACTCCTCTTGGCACCGTACAAATAAGTGTAGGCTGAGAATCTCCAATTACCAACACGACCAATATGACAAAGCACGCTGCGTAGCTATTGAAAATTCCAGCTTCTTACATAAACTATCTTATGTGTACCAAGTATGAACCATTTGCACAGTTGCACAGTCATAGTTATTCACATTGGGGCTTTTACACTATTCTTAAAATAACAGCAGCTAACATTCAGACCAGCAGTCTGCTTTTTAAGAATCCACAAACTTAATTCATATGCAGTTAACCAGATATTGCTCATACATTTAAATTACAGCAGGAGAAATAGGCTATCACTTAACTTACATTAATTGTAAAATACAACAAATTATCAAAACATTAAATTGTACTTAATATTCTTTTTTCACTTCTGGGGACAAACGTATGAAACTACATTTTAAAAAATTACTGCTATTAAATAAAGCCAATTTAAAGCAATAGAAAATTAGTCTGGACCAACTTGTGCTACTTGCTGCCTGAAGTTGCAAGGAGAGAAAAATGCATCTGAATAATAGTGATGCCCAAAATAGATTATATTCCTTCTGATACTTTAAGGACTATTCTATATTTATGAGCTCTTACCAAAGGCATACATCTATGAGAAAACTGTCACTTTTGAAAGCAAAGGGAATTAGCCAGTAATTCATAACATTTTAGAGATGCTCAAGAGCTTCAAGTAACGGATACCATGGAAAAAGCTCCACAGATAGACTGAGAGATACCAATTCACATCACACTTCTACAGCTGGTGTATTTTTTTCATTAAGAATCTATAAATGGATTAGAAATAGTGCATTAGTTGCTGTTGGCCACTGGAAGGTTCTTGCCAACCTTTCCATATGTCATGAGAGTTGCATATTAAACGATGCATTTAGTTTTTCTTTGCATGCTTTTATCTATTTACAAGTAAATACATTCCCAAGCAAGCAAAAAGCATGAGTAACACACAATACTTAAATGCACCTGTTAAAAGCACTAAGATAAAAGTTCCATCAAGTTACTCGATGCAGTTCACTATAGAACTTCATGAGCACCAAGAGCTTAAAATGAAAGCGTAAGCACTTAGTAAGTGCTGCACCGATTTACAAGCCCGAAGCTCGCCAACTACACGATGGAGCTGTATTTAATTTAGTTCAGGACATGAAAGTATGGGGTTTTTATAATAAGCAATTCCATTCAGATAAAACTTTCTTTAGCTTACAAATTCCACATTTTAATTTGATTTCTTTTTTTCTTGATTTGCTAGAGAAAACCTTATGAAAATTCTGTCAGCTTGTACCTTCCCAGCAAGGTGGACCCTAGCATCTGTCTCAACATTTTGCAGTTGTTTCGAGACAGCAGCCTGGGGGCTTTGTGCCAAGTGAAACTGCTCTCAATGTTGATTGCTGTAATTCTCTGAGCACATTTCATGAAATTGTCAAACATTTATGTCTCTGAGATACACATTTGTATAAAACTTTGTTCAGATTAATACTGCAGGCCTATCACTTCAGAGACTATAAAGCTATTCACATTCTTAGATGTCCATACATTTCTCACGGAACAGCAAATTTCCAACACAACAGTTCTTGTAAGACTGTTTATTGAATTTCACAGTTCAGATAGAGTTTAGATGCAGTTTGTATAAAAACCCTCTCTTTTCGTGTAAATTGCAATCAAAAATAACTTTACAAAATAGTAAGAGACTTACTGAGATTGTAAGTTTCCTAACATGTAAAACTATAAAGTGTTTGTGCATGCTCACTATTCGATTTCCTTCTTTGCAACAGAGGAGTTGTTAAAAGGAGTTTCTTTGCTTTTTAAAATCTCAAGGTAGTCTATGAAATGGAATCGTAGTCATCACAATTTGGATATACATGATCAAAACTGGCACAGAGAAACATAACATTTTTTTCCCAAAAAGTTGAGGCAGCTTTTGTTGAATGGTGTCTGCATCAGTAGGTTTTTTACAAACTCTGATGGCTTTGGAGCATCAGAGAGAATAGTTTTTTTTTTTAATTTTGAGACCTTGAAAAAAAATTCTCACAAGTTCAGGCAGTTAAGGAGGAAAAGAAGTAGCAGCTTGTTTCCTACATACAGCCCAACGCCATGCACAGCTGCTCAGCGTCTCAAAACAAAAAAGAACTTGACATCACAGGGAGGCATATGCCCGTCAAGTTAGAAGCATGTCTAGGGGTTCTCCAGAGAGAGGGAAGCAAGCACGAGGGTAAAGCACAAGTCTACTTTTCATGCATAGCTACTGTGCGCTGCCCCGCGTCCAGGGCGCTTCGTCAGACATCCGAGTTGGAGCTGAGGTTTGTTAACCTGGGGTCTGCATTGATCTCATATCTGTAGTGGTAGCCCTCCATGTGATCCCTACAGGCATCTCTGATGTTGTGCATCCACTTTTTGATTCCTTTTCGGTTCAAGTACAGAACGAGGAGGAAAATGGCCCCAATGAGAGCCAATACTATCCCCAAGAAGACGTATGAAGTCTGTAGCTGGGAAGGCAGGTCTATGGGCTCCGAGCAGTTCAGGTCCGAGCTGTTGGTCTTCAAAGCTTTGCCCAACATCTTGTCGGGGTAGGCGCAGGTGATGGCTTCTCTGCCCTCCACCTGGTCGCTCTCCTTGAGCCAGGTCACCAGGTCCTCGATGGTGCAGTTGCAGATCCAGGTGCTGCGGCCGGAGCCGACGCGCCGGAGGGCGGGCAGGCTGCGTAACTGGGCCGGTGTGCCATTCCTCAGCACACCCAGCGAGTCCTCGCTGAGGTTGAGGCTCTGCAGCTGGCCCTGCCCCTGGAAGGAGACGTTCTGCA